CCTTTTTTTTCTATCAATTTCGTGAATGTGTTGAGTTTCTAGAAATAACAATTATTATTATTATTATTGACACGTATGCCCTGCAAACATCATACGACGTTATAGTAATACACGCGGACAGCAGCTGTTGCTCCAATGCGTATGTTAACGTCCAAGATACCGGTTTACCTACAAATACTATCAAGTATCATAAACGTGTAATTACATTCGTTATTATTAAAAAAGTTTTTTAGTATACTGCTGTAACACAATGGAACAGAAGCGTCTAAACTAAGATTTTATTAATCATTATAAGTAGTTATAATGTAATTATCGTATAAAAATTGCATTATACTTTGAGTCATATCTAGCTAAAATCTATAATTTGAAAAAAGTTAAATAGCTAAGATTTTACTCGACATTGTTAAAATTTGTAAAAAAAAAATTTTAAGTAAACATTTTTTCATACACAACGGCCTTGTTATTAGATTTTCAAAAACTTATATTAATAAAAAGAATATTGTCTATAATATTACTAATAAAAAAAGTTAATACTTATGAAAAAAAAAAAATTGTTATCTTCTACAACTGTAAATTGTTGAGATATTTTTAATTTTTGAAATTATCTTATAAAACAAGGTATGATTTATGTTCTTTCAATGTATTAATCGATAATATACGTCCTGTAAAATATGAATAATAGTGGCGATAAAAAAAAATAAAATATAAATAAATGTACATAGTGGTAACGGTAATACCTTCTCAACTTGATATTAAAAAAAATTTTTTTAGTGAAATTGAGTTTTTTTTTATGAAATTGTAACTGATAATCAGGAGAAAAAATTACTTTTCTTCGATAAGGTCTTTTGTCATGACCTAAAAAAGATATTGACGAAACAGAATTTTCTAAATCGTTCACACTAAATTTACTATCAGACTATATCAATGTCCGATGTCAAATTGTAAAAAATAACTTTCGTATTAAATTAATTTAATTCACTGCTAGTTTATGGCTTCATTTTTATTTACCACTTTTTGTATTTAAAGTTTTAATATTAAAATTATTTTTATCGTAAATTTTTTAACTAATATTTGTAAAATTATATATTAAACGTAAAATGTTAAGATGTTTTTTTATATTTCACTCAAGTAAACTATAAAAATTCTGTATAACATATTAGTTAATAAACATATACTTAAATGATGAACGTGTAAAATTTGAATAAGTACTATTTATGAAACGAGAAATATAATTTTATTTATTAAAAAATTTACTACTGTCAAATTTATTAAAGAAAAACTACATTTTGTGTTTTTCTAAAGGTTTTTTTTTTGATTTTATGTAGATGAATTCAGTTTTATAGTTCCACAATTTTAACATTGTTTGTAGGTATCAACCATTGTAAAATATCTATTTAAAATATTGATTGAAGATGAGATGCGGTTATTGTTATTATTATAATTGGTATTTATCGGTTGTTTACATCCTCCGCCTAGATGTAAAAACAAATAAAGTTTTTTTTTATGTATAAGGACATTATCATCAACTAGATATAAATCGGACTTTTTTGACATAATTTCTTTTCACTTTTTTCACGTAATCGGTTCAGTGAGAGTTGAGATTTTTCATGGGTAGCTACAAAAGCACTCATAAAATGTCTTGTGTCATAAATTGATATTACCTCATCTAAAACAAGTTTAAAATAAAAAAAAAATTATTTTTGCAAAACAAACTTATAATTTTACAACTCTGTTAGATATAAATACTACTGTCCATGTTATATTTAATTATAATAGATACTTATAGTAAATTATTACATTTGGGACATAGCATATTACACTAAAAGTGTATTATTATCACATACAATGTAAATAATATCTACACGTATGTGATAATGGAACAGCCATTTGTCATTGTTTCCTAATTTTACAATAGACCTTGTCGGATGACTATCAAAATTCAATAACTCTTAAAATTGTCGTCTTAATTATTTAACTACGTTACGGTATATGCCGTTAGCTCACGTTTCGATTATGATAATTTATCGATGAATCTGATATTCTAGTCTCCTTTGTGTCTGCCAGAGCACTTTTACGGGTCACGTTTGCCCACAGGTTCTATTGTACATGTGGTCTAACAACCACGTGGGTGCTTATTGAGACGATGCACGTGCAACCGGTTGATGCTGTTAGGTATCTCGTGCATAGGTACCACAATCTGTATACAAACGCCACGTCGTTATTAAATATACACACACACACATATATATATATATATATATATATCATAACTATAACGTACAGAGTCTAGTATGGAAGACATTGAAGTGGAAAAAAAAGAAAAACGCTGTATAGACGAGAAACCCGATATTCAAATTTATGCGCATCTAAAACTATATCGAAGTGAAGATAAACATCAAATACGAGGGTCACTTAATATTAAGGAAGAATAAAAATTTACACCAGTTACTGTCATAAAATATGATCTATAATAAAACATATTTATATCCATTGAATCAGCTTCTGTTGTATGATATAATAGCTGTAACGTTGACAACAAGTAAATCATGATACATTATACTGTAAGACTTAATATTTAAAGAATAACATTTAAATTATTCACCGTATTTTCAAGGCTTAGTATACAACTATAAGTTTTATGTCAAAAAATAATTACAAATTAATTGAAAAATATTATAATTCTTTTTTGACCGAAAATTAATTAATTCATTAATAAAAAAAAAATAAGTTCGACATAACTTTTTTAATTAATACACTTTTATTGTCGTATTAGTTATATTTATTAAATATTCCCAAGCTCAAAAAATCAAAATTTTTAAACTTGTAAGCAAAGTTAATTTTCAAAAGAGTAAAATGAGTTAAATATAAGTTAAATAAAATAATATATTGTAGTGTTTTATTTAATATGTTACTAGTACTGGAAAAAATGACTCAATTAAAAAAAAAAACAATGCTGCAATAATACAATTTTTTTTTCTCGCGGTTGCGAAGATAAATCATAATAAAAAATTTTACATTGTCATCGAAAATGAAAATAATTTTTTGAAGCTCTAATGATTTTTATAATACATATTTTTTATATTTTACAGATTTATTTTAACAGACGCAAGTATTTTGAAGTCATTAATGAATAGTTTCATCTCTTGAAGACCATATTAGCCTGAGATATGAAATTTTAAAATGTGTCACTGATAATGTTAATTTTTATATTCTTACTTACATAGTTATGATCATTATGAATGCATTCACAACTTAATTTGAACAGACCAACTGGCACTTAGATTTATTAATAATAAACAGTTTTAAAATTATATTTGACATTTTTAACGTATAAATATAAGTAAAACATGAAGCATACACACTTAAGGTAGTTTCATAATAATTATTTATCAAATTAAAAAGTCAAAATAAGAAAATAACTTAAATAGTTTATGTAGTAAATAACAATTGCTCGATGAAATTAGTAAACATCATTATATCTATGTTTTTTTTAATAAAAAAAAAGGTTTCTTAAAACCATAGAACAAATAACATAGAATCCCATTGATGGTAAAATGTAATAATTTATTTTTAAAAGTATCCTTCTTTTTCGTAATGGTTAGCTCCACCTGCGTCGCTATGGCCATACTTTTCACCTTCTTTGTGGCCGCCTTTTTTAGCATACTCAGAGTGCTGTCCATGATGTGCTTGTTCACCAGCTTCAGATTTGTGTCCCTTAGCCTGTTCGTATTTTTTACCATGATCGCTTTCCGCTTTTTTAGCTCCGTGGCTTTCATGGTACGCTGTATCAGTGTGGCCTTTCTTTTCGTGGCCTCCCTTTTCTTTAGCATGTTTTTCTTGTTCGTGCTTATGTTCTTCATGTTCACCACCATCGTGAGATTCGTCATAGAATACTTCATCTTTTTTATATTCATCTTTGTGATGTACTTTATGGAAACCAGACGTTTTCTTACCTTTTTTATGCCCTCCCTTTTTAGTCACTGAAATACCTTTCTCGCCATGGTTGCCTTGGTATGCTTCACCATAGTGTTTACCTTCGTCAATATGACCCTTCTTTTCACCCGCTTTTTCTGCTACATGCGAGTGTTTTTCGTCACTACCAAAGTCTTCTTTTTCTCCTTTGTCATAAGCTTCTTCATTTTTAAAAGCTTTTTCTGCCTTTTCTCCTTCTTCTGATTTATGTCCTTCTAAGAATTTTTGCCCTGCTTCTTTTTCATAGTGTTTATCTTTCTCAAAATCTTCTCCAGTTCCATAGCCACTTGCTCCGTGACCAATAATTCGACTACCTTCATTATTTAAGTCTTCAGAGAGTTTACTTTCAGCAGGTCGTTCTTCAACTATTTCTTTAATATTTTTAGGAGCTGCTTTAGATTCGTCTACTTTTTCTTCTTGTAATTCTGTAAATGATGGTTTTTTAGACTTGTATTTTTTTCGATTAGCTGGAGTCAGAGTTGGTCTTTTTTGAGGAGGTGATGATTGTAAAACAGTATCCAATTCATCATCATACTTGAACGTTTCACTGGATTTTTTTGATTGTGCTAACCTATTTTCAGGGAATCTAAAAGATTTTTGTTCGTCTCGAGCTCTAGACGGACGTCTGTTTTCAGTTTGATATTCTATATTTTCCGGTTCCGAGTCTTGGTGGTAATTTCTAGTCGCGGATCTGTACGTATTGTACTCTTTTCTGGGAGATTTAGAAGTTTCGACAACGCTGTAAGAACTACTCACTCCAGAATTGTCACCAGCCGGTAAAATCTCCACATTATCACCTAATCCCAAATATTTATTCTGTAGTTGTCTTTTGTGTCTTGTTGGTATCATCGAATACGTGACTACAATTTGCCATACAATTACTAAAACGGCAACATGCTTTATCGCGAACATTATCACTGTACTAGAGACTACAATTGAATTATTTAACGCTGAAAAACAAAAAACACGTCATAAAACAATGAAACGGTTTAACTATACTGAAAGAGTATGTTTTATTTTCTCCTTTTAAATATCCCGGACGTCCCCCTATAGTTGACAATTACGATGCTGGTCGTTGGTTCGAGACGAATTGGTTGCGAAATTTACTGGAAAATTCTATACAAGAAATCATCCGTAAGTCCACACTCAAGGATAAACGTTTAATTTTGTCTCACTGTTAGCATCTAGATCCAGGGCCATACGTGTGAGGTTGGTGTATGTGTGTTTATGTTTCTTTTGGGGAAAGCGAATCAGCAAGATCGTCAAGGGTATTTGAGTCCGACGATGCATTTCACCGTACGAGCCTTGGACCATCCGACACAATCGATGAACCGTAGATACCTGTTTCATCGACCATCGTTGCATAACACAATCAAATAAAATTAAACGGATTTAAATTATTTAAAAAATATTATGTGAAATGATTAATAAAATAAGAATTGATCACTTGTAGCTAATATTATTTAAAATTAATATTCATTATTTATTTATAAGTGAATTATATTTTAAAACATTATTAAACATTTCCTGGAGCTTCAATAAAAATTCGAAATTATTTTCATACGTTGTATTTAAAAGTCTATTAGTATTTTTTAATTTTCTTATTTAATATTGTATTCATTGTATCATTAGTTATCCTAATAAAAGAATACATATTTGTATTAAACAATTAATGTTTCCAGCTTGGTGGTTTTTTTATAATTAATATTGTTATATACTACGTTGTCACTAACTTTGTTTAATCGTTTTTATTAAAAAAATGAACATATTTGAATATTGCCCATATGGTGTTATAGAAAGATATTTGCATAATGATAGGCCACGGTGACACGCTTTGTAGTAAATAAGTAGCACGCGCTACATACAAATTATGCATGATATACACCCGGTGTTTTATGATAAATTCTTCTATGATATATTCGAAAAAAATTAAGTCAAAACTTAACCCTTTACACTGTGCCTCCGTTTAATAATACCACTATTAAAACGTCACCTGACAACATAATTGCTCATAAAGCAACTGAATTTAGAAAAATTAATCGTGTGTTCAATAAAGTATAAGAGATAAAACGTTCATTAAAATTATATTGTGCGTCACGTGATGTTATACAGGGCAATTAATTATAGTTTTTAATAGTGGAAGAGGAGTTGAACCATGTACATAAACATTACCACCACTGTTTACGCCGGTGAATTATAGAAGAATTATGTAGAGATCCCTATAGTATTCAATCATTATAATGAATATATTACAATAAAAAAAGATTTTTCATAATTTTCAAATTACTTAAAAACCATAACTCAAGTAATTCTTATACTTTTTTTTCTTTAATCATATGTTAATAGTTATTTTATAAAATGTGTTAACATTTTAGGTATTAGTTAATAATGACAAATATCAAAATAACTATTGATAAGTGATCAAAATAATTAAATAAGACCGTAGAATTTTATTAATTTAAAACTGACTTGTTAACATTTGTATAATTTTCAAATCATTTAAAACGCATATTGTTAATGTTATTATTAAATAACATAAACACATCTTATAAAAATATGAAGTTAAAAACAAATAATTTTTTTTAATATCTATGTATTAAAGCTGGAGTAACTTTAGATGACCATTTAACTCTAGGATTGTCCAAACATTTTATGTATATATTATAAAACTGCAGGGGAAGATTATTTAGAGGTCGATTTCTAGGGTCAACATGGTAATAATAGAAGCAGAACGTCGTGTACTGTGTCATGGAAGCGTATAATTGATGTTTTGGATGCCGGGACGTGCACAGTGTTTGTATACAAGTTGGACGTGCATGGTATTGCATGCATAAATATACATACTGTACTAATATAATTAGTGGCAAATAATAATTTAATGTAAACGCGACTATACTAGGTAGACGTCAGATGTTTTTTGGGTTGCGTGTCGGAGGATTGGACAGACGGACAATTTTGGTGGTCACCACCCCCTTCTATTTGGGATGACCGTCACTGAGGGCTTATATTGCCTCGATTGAAGGGTTGAAGGTGAATTATTCCCTCTCTAAAGCTCACTGCTTGATTTCTTGTATATTAAACAGTTAGATAGTTCTAACAATGATCATTTTTGTTTACATATCAACATAGTGCCTCTTGATGAACGATTTACATATAATAAATGTTACTTCTATATTACATCATTGATTTTCTTCGAATTCTGTATTGTAAATTGTTAAATTTATTTAATTAAAATTTACATTTTTGATTATTTAATAACAATAAATTTGCCATTGACGATCAATGATTTCTTCGTATAAGCCCCAAGGAGATAGTATGATATTGTATCGATCACTGCGGTTCAATTTTTTTCTATTTTTCTATATATAAAAACCGACGTCCTTCTACTGACCCCGTCAGCGGTGCATATGAAAATGAGCATGACTTTAATTGATAAATAAATATCCGTTAAATCGCTATACGTTTGTCCTACATGGATAAAAGTCCGTAAAAATGCGTATTAAAAATTAGGCGAAGGGCATTAACTATTATGTATATATTAATATGCACACACGATTTTAATAAAATTAAGTAGTTATATTATGGTACTAATATAATTTTTTTTTCGTTATAGTAATCTTTTATAATAAGCCTTGTAAATTTCAAAACATTATTGTAAAAAATCAATCGACAACAGACATAAACCAACGTAAAAAAAGCTAAAAAAATAAAATGATCAAAGGAAATGGTTATTTATTATATAAATAAAAATTTTGAATTATTTACAACACGTACATAAATAACCAAAAAAGAAAAAAAGAGATATTCACTTTTCTTTTTTATTACAAATAAATTCAGTAATTACATGAGAATCCAGGTGTTTTACTCTATAGCTAATAATACTTTATTTTAAAATTAATTACATTGTAAAAAATAGCGTTAAAAATTGTTTTTATTAGCTTAGATATTAATCAAAAGATATTAAAATATCAATTACGATCTATGTTGTCGTTAAGTATATATAATTTTTTTAACTAACTATATCAATAAATTTCAATAGTTTGCACTTGTGGTATTGAGTTAATTTTTTATGACTATAAAGTTAGTTAATTAGTTGTCATTGGATCCCTTATGACCTTTCTCTTTTTCGCCTTAGAGGCCCTAGGAAACCACATTTAATGGGAGATCATATAATGAACTCGACCGTGATTTTGCTCAGTGTAAGTCATGTATGATTGCTATAAGCCCCAAGCACCTTGATGTCTGTCTACAGGGAACCAAGAGGAGTGGCTGGAGAACATGCAAGAAAAAGGCGATAGAGAAAACGTCATGGGGATAAGAGAAACAGAGATGGAAAAAGAAATGTACATTAAATGGAATAGATAAAAATAAAAAAAGCATGCACATAAACTCAGTGTAACTCTTCTTAGCCTGAGCCAATGACCCCGAGGATTTGTTTGCGCTCTATCTCTGTCTTTTACACACACAACATGCAAGAAACCGGTTGCCTGGTGACTGGACAGCATCCCGCCCGTTATAACACTTCATTTTCCACGGATATAAGAAGAGGGGTATAGAAGGTCTTATATCCGCTGTAACGATTACTATTACTGTCTACAAACTACACGCTATGATCACCACCCGTCGTACTATTTTACTATTTCCATCACAAAATAATCACTTTCCACGTAGTATTCAATGTATATATAGTGTACTATCTAAACTAACCACAATAATCATCTGACCGTTTAAAACGTTTTATTGGCAAACTAATTTAGTTGATCATAACTACTGTTTTATCCAGATGTTCATATTAAGAACAAATTAAAATCATCATTTTTTTATGTTTCAAACAGTTTTAAAATGAAAAATATTAAATTTCATTAATTTATTGTAATTTTTAATTGATCGAAAAAATAATAATCTATTATTGCTACAAAACTAATTTGCAATCTATAGGCGGAAACAGAATAAAATATTTCGGGGTACTTAACTTGTTTGTTCTAACCATCGATTTTAATTTATTCCACATTCTAAGTATAAAGGTTGGCTGAATAACTAAAAAATGATTTCTTTCTTTTTACATTGTATCAACATATTGACTGCAATTAAAAATAGCTTTATGGCAATGTACAGATATATTGTATTTTATTTTAAATATTTTATGCAAAAGGAGCATTGTAATAACGCCAGTTTACTTAATATTAAATGAAACACGATTGTAAATATATTTATATATATATATTAAATTGAATAGTTATTCGTATCAAATTCGTAGTTAACAGAAATGTACATAAAATCGAGTATATATTTTTAATTATATCAAAAAGTTGACTGTAAAGATAACTCTTAAAAATAATATATTTTTTGACCCCAAAGACATTAATATTAAGTAATAATATTACATAAATGTTGATTATATTATAATCATAATGATAACTACTGATAGTTAGTCTTCGAGATTGACATTGACAAAATGTAAACACAATTGTAAATGTAGTGCACACAACTCGTGATAAAAAATATTATCAATTTAACTGGTACAAGATTATGTAATAAGCTTTATCAGACTGTTTTTTATTGGTTTCGTATAAATTTTACTTACATGTTACTACTTTTATTAGCCGTATAGTAATTCAGGCTGTGTATACTCGGTCCATGCAAATTTATAAATCGTCATAGGACGAAAGGTAGGTACATTTAAAAAAAGCAAACCTTACAATAGTAGAAAAGCCGTCTTATTTATGTACAAACACACATTATCTCCGGTCCTGAAGCCTTAATAGTTGCAATCACGGACAGCGTCTGAAAGAGAAGGGGAGTTTGAAGACGGGGCAAATAGGTCTTTGTTGGGCGCAGGTGTACAGATGCGGTTTTGCTAGGCAGTAAATCCTATTGAGTTCTTACCTATACGCACACGCACAAACACGATATACATATGAAGCGACGGCAAAGGCGGAGTTGGTGAGGTGGACAAACTCTGTGAAGAGGCGAAGAGGGTTTTCAAAAACTGGTTTTTATGGGTTGACTACCAAGTTACGTGATTTGTAAGACAACATCTCCTCCGGTGCTTATACTT